GCAGCTTTCCGTCCTCACCTACAATGTGGCTTCACTTCAGACGCACAAGGGCCAAATGCAGGTGGCTTTCACGCGCGAGCAAGTTCAAGCACATGAGCTGCATGTGGCATGTTTTCAAGAGACGAGATCTAAGAGTTCAAACCTGGTGATATCCAATACACATTACAGAATCGTCTCCGCAGCACATGCAGGTAAAGGAGGGCTCGAGACCTGGCTTTTGAGGCGCCGCCCCAAGACTGGAGAGACGTTTTTTGAGAAGTCGCAAATTGTAGTTTTGTTTGCTCATCCAGAAATGCTGCTTGTACGGGCATGTTTCAAGGGGACTGACATCCTTTTGATCAATGGCCACGCACCACATGACATAGCGGACATTCCAGTGAAGATATTGATGCTTTCTGGACTCTTCTCACACATCAATGCAGCAAATGGATGCGCCAGGTACGGCAATTTGTAGGAGGGATCGATGCCAATGCTCACTTTGCATCTTCTTCTTGGCCATGGGTTAGTGACCATGGACTTGAAGACCAAGAGAATGTGGGAGCCAGATGTTTTTTGACCTTCCTGCAAAAATGTGATGCTTTTCTACCAACTACTTATGACTGGATGCACACGGGGGATACCTCTACATGGACAAGTAATGCTAATGGACAGACCGCTCGCTGTGACTACTTCTTCTTGCCCCTCGCATGGCAGCAGGCCACAATTTCGACATATGGTGTCGATACTGTCGATACTGGACTGGCTGGAGAGGACCACGCTGCTTTAAGGATTTGCGTGCTATATATTTGCGACAAGGAGAAGCGTGATGCCGGCGAGCTTTGATCGACACGCCCTTCGCTGTTGCGATCAGGGGTGACTTCGCTCCCTGTTTCAAAAACCCCCGGTGGTACACTGGACTGAGGACATTGAGACCCACGCTACTGCACTCACTACGTGGCTGGAAGAAATCCTTTGTGGAGCCTTCCCGAAGGGACGGGTGAAGCCGAAAAAGGCTTACGTTTCAGAAGCTACGTGGGACACCAGAACTCAAAGGATTGGATTGCGCAGGCAACTTGCTACTGTAAAAGCTGAAAACCGTCTTGCTGACTGTGAGGTATTGTTTTGACCGTTGTGGAAGCAAGGGTCTACATTAGTTTTCACGTCGTTGATAAAGGACTGTGTAGTCAACCTCTTGCGTTGTCAAGCAATGTGCAAGCATTCAAACTTGCTGACCAAACGCCTCTCGCATCAACTGCGATTGGATCGCAACGAGCAGCTGATACAGCTTGGACAGAAAGCTACTCAGTTGCCTTATGCGCAATTCGTGAAAGCTATTAATGCAAGCAGCAGGAGTTCATAGCAGACGGAGGCCTACTGGGCTGCAGCCTATGCCAATGAATCGCAACAAAGAGGGAGAACTGCTTTTGTCAAACTTGACAAGGCATTTTTCTTGGATGGGGTCCCAGGGGAGCTGTGCCATTGCATCCCAGAAACTATGGCCCAGATCGTGTACCCCCTCTTCCTCAAGGAAACTGCATACCAGAGAGAAGCACTTATTTTCAAGGGAGGGCGACTAGCCCCTGCTCACAAGAAAGGAGACCCGTCACAATGTAACAACCATGGCTCCCTTTTTGTGTCCAGCATGCTGGGAAAAGTGCTTCACAGTCTTTATCGGCAGAAATTGGGGCCTGTGCTGGAGGAAGTTCGTCTACCTATGCAGATCGGTGGTGTCAAAGGACACTCCATTGTGCAGGCTTCGCATTCGCTGGTTCTTTTTCAGTCTTGGTGTCGGAGAAGAGGATACAGCATGGCGATCATATTTGTAGACATTGCCAACGCTTTCTACCGTCTCATCAGACACCACATCGTGACGGTCGGCGATGACCAACGGTCTTTGGATGCGCTGTTCCATCAGCTTGGACTGCCCCAAGAGGCCAGTGAAGAGTTTCAGAGTCACCCGGTACAGCAGCCTGCGCTGGAAGTGTTTGATCTGATTTCCTCAAATCACTTTTTGGAGAATTTCTTATGGCGATTTGGTTTCAAGTGCCAGGGGCGGATTCGCTGACTTGGGCAAGACGAGGCTCACGGCCCGGAGACTGCTTTGCAGACGTGTGTTTCGCGTTTGCATTTGCAAAAATCCTCCAGAAAGCTGAGTCTCAGATCTTGACAAGGTATCCACATCTTGGCCTGACTTGGAGTGGACAGCCGGAGCCGGAGGCCGACCAGATGACGCGCAGGCTTGGGATCCTTATGCCCATTTGGGCTGATGACTTAGCAGTTGCACTCTGGACGGACCAGCCAATGGAGATGCTTGTTCTTCTGCCAGAAGTGGCAAGTTCCCTTTTCAATGTACTTTCCAGCGCTGGCTTGTCACCAAATTTCTTGGCAGGTAAAAGTGAAGTGCTGGTTGAATTGCAAGGCAGTGGTGCGCTGGCGGCAAGAAGGGAGCTAGTTGGATGGAACAACACTGTGCCGGTCGATGGTGTCGCTGTGACAGGGGGCCTGCGACTTGTAGGGTTCTACCGACATTTGGGTACTGTTCTGCAAACAGGCGCAGCAATGAGACGTGATTTGGCAGCCAAATACGGTGCAGCTCACCAGACAATGACCAAATTCAAGTCACAGCTGTTTCATAATAGACAGATGCCTTTGCGGACTAAAGTCCAGTATTTTCGATCGCTGGTGCTCAGTGCCATCTTCTACAACTCGGCTACATGGATGCTGGTCTCTAAGCGACAGAAGCATCAAGCTCAAGCCGGCTTGTGCAAGTTGTATAAGCGTCTGGCTATCGCACACTTTGGACAAGAAGCCGTTGATTGGTCATGGAAAAAGACATGTGTTCTTCTGCATCTCCCTGACCTTGAGACTATGCTTGCATTGGAGAGGCTTCGATACATACAGTACCTGGCACGACTTGGACAGCCGCATCTTTGGGGATTGCTACAGCTCGAGAAGAGTTGGTGGTGTCAACTTAAAGCTGATCTTGCATGGCTGGCACAGCTTTGTCCGGAATTGAATCTGCATCTTGACGAACCCTTTGATTGGCATCGATTTTGTCAGGACTGTGCACATAGTAAAACTTGGAAGAGGACAATTGCTCGAGCAAGGGCAAGAGCCATGGCAGACCAAGAGAGAATATTCGAATGGGAAGCGTGGCATACGCATATTTACAGGGAGCTTGCTGAGCATCGTCTCATCACCCCAAGACTACAACGAATGGGATGGCAGGAATTCTTCTGCATTTCTTGCAGGAAAATGTTCAAGACTGCGGCTGCATTGGCTGTGCACCAGTTTAAGATGCATCAACGGTTGACGCTTGCCCGCTATTTTGTACAAGGATCCTGCTGTGAATCGTGCTTGAAGGAATACCATACCCGCCTCAACCTCATCAATCATGTCAATCGCAAAGCCAATTGCCGGAGCTTCTATCAACAGCGAGGCCGGATTGTTGAAGCGGAAGCTGGAGTCAATAGTAGAGAGGCTACGCTTGTCCCTTCCGTTTCTTCAGAGTGAGGGACCACGTCTTGTTGATCCTGTTGGACCCGAAATTGATCCATTTGTTGATCAGGAGGCGACCAGGTTAAGGCAGCAATGGACCCATGCCTGTGAGACCTGTAGTATGCCGATTTCGGGGCTATTGGAGGCATTGCGCAAGGCTGCCATCCAACTCCAGTGGAATTGTTTCGTGCCTTTCGTGAATGGAGCCAGGTGTGGGCAGATGAGAATGACTGGGTAAGCTTGGAGCACCTCCATGTGTTTTCCACGTATATTGATAGCATATCAGCTGAGTGGCCGGCTTGAGGAGAAGGTTGAAGTCATGAACTTTTTTGCTCAAGAGGCACTTCTGCTTGGCCGGATTCCTTTTGCGGTTCCCGTACACCAAGGTTCAATCAACGGATCTTTGCTCATCTGTTTTCAGGTCGACGGCGCCCAGGTGATGTGCAAGAGATGATTGAGGCCAGAGGAGCTACTATGCTGTCGATTGATATTATTTTCGACCTGGCCAATGAGGAGACCTTCTCGTTGTTCCAGAGAGCCTTGGTACAGGGTATACTGGTTGGTTTCCTTGCAGGTCCGCCGTGTGAAACCTGGTCAAGGGCACGACAACACCGGCTTGAGGGGAAGAACTCTCCTCGACCTGTTCGAGAACTCGGACGTCCTTGTGGCCTGCGTTCGTTGACGTACCGTGAACACAAGCAGGTGAGTTTTGGCAATTGCCTTTTGGCCATCACTTGGCGTTTGGCTGTCACGGCACTGTGTTCAGGTGCTTCGGTCATCATCGAACACCCGGCAGAAATCGAAAGTGACCTCTAACATCCGTCAATCTGGAGGACCTGGATTGCTAGATTCCTTCTGAGGTTCCCAGTTTGTAGAAAGATCATTGTCATGCAAGGCCACTTTAAAGGTCTGTCAGTCTGCTAAACCGACCGACCTCTTCCTCATCAACATTTCAAGTGAGGCGGAACAAATTTTGTTGAAAGGGAGGGTGTCACAGATACCCAAGATGTCCTCTATAGGAGTTGGTGATGATGACAGTTTTAAAACTGCCATCTTGAAGGAATATCCTCCTGCACTTTGCGCCGCGTTGGCGGAAATTTTTGACCGATCCCAGCCGGAGATCGAAGAAGGGCAACAGATCCCAGAATGGTTTCTCCAAGTCACAGAGAACCTTAAGGGTTCCTTTGACGAGGAGGCCGAGAGAGGCCCTGACTTCTGTGCGGGAGGTGCAGATCATGCGCATACCTAATTCGTAATTAATATGCCTTGCGGCCACAGACTTTGCTCTTTCGGCTTGTGCAATGGAAAAAAAGAAATGGTCAAGGGGGGCGGCATAGATTCCAGTCCAAAACAGGTCGTGTCTGGGTATATATATATATATATATATCCCTAGGGCTCCAAGTACCTCCTTAGAAGGTATTTGGACCCTCTAAACCCACCCCAAACAGCCCTATAGGGTACAGTAATATGTATTTCCCTCGTCTCCTCTGGAACGGCGGGGCCCGCCCCGACCGTTAACCGAGGTGCTGAGCGGACAAAGCGACAGCCCCACCAGTCGCAGCATCTGGGCGGCTAGACGAGTGGATGGTTCCAAGACCATTAGTGCTGTTGACAATAATGGCCGCTTCAACGGAATCACCAGTTGAACCAAGTATACTGCTCATTTGGTTCTTGAGATTTATTGTGTCCAGTGTCGACGTTGCTCGTTTCACGCCGACGTTTCCAGGCAAAGATCCGATGGTCCGACAGGTTACCCCTTTTGCTGAAGAGGAAGCGGTCCAGGCGCTCCCTCCGTGTCCACGGACCGGAGAAGGTCCCGGTGTGGAAGACGAGTGTCTCGGGTGGAGGCGTTTTGAAGCTGAAAGGTGACTTTGGAGACTTCCAGGTGGGGAAAACATCCTGTTTCTTCGAAAAGAGTACTTTCTGCAGACCTATCGCGCCGGGTTCCGGCTTCCGAGCGCGGCGCTGGCTGGTTCCTCCAAAAGCGAAACGGTCTTTGGGAACATGATGGTCTTCATTGGTCTTCCGTGTTTGGAGTTGATCCCAAGAGTTATGAAGAGTTGCAACCTTTGATCAACCTATATTGACAGACGGCTCCGGCAAGACCAGGCGTCGGCGTCGGCCTCCATTTTCACGGGCAAGTTCCAGGACGTCATGAAGCTTGGCGAAGCAACGGGTCCAACGGCCTGAACGGGCGTAGAACGGGGGTGTGCGGCGTGTGCGGCGGGCAGCGTGGGGGCGGGGCAGCGTGGAGCTGTGTTGTTCTCCTTCAGATAGAAAGCTGATGCTGATGGAAGTTCCGATTCCAGCAAGAAAGAAGACAGATTGGTCACTCCACATAGTAGTTGTTCGGTTGGTTTCCAGACTACATTTACTGATGATAGGTCAGGATGCTTCACAGTTCAAGGTCTTCCACTACCTTTGATTCATGCCATATGTTTTTGTTCATTTTGTTCATCCTCTCCCCTCTCTCGCGTCCTTCCCTTTTTGTGAGGAGAATGAGCGAAGCAAGTATATTCAGTGACCTGGTTCTGCATCTGTCGCAAGGCTTTCCACAGAGTCAGACTGAAGCCTCTCAGGGCATCTGAGCTCACCCACTTCTTAGTTTCTTTTCTTGAGAGACTCAGAACCTCGGCTCGCTGCCGCTTGCTGCCCTTTCTTCCTTGCCAACCTGCCACTCACCCAGGTCCCAGATCCGAAGCCGTCGCTCCGCGGGCAGCCTGACAGCGGGAGACCGGGGGCGGTTTCGCTATCCAAAGCGTAGCGTTGGACCGAGGATGACCGGGGGTGTTCAAGGTGGTTCGGTTCTTTTTTGGGGAATTGGGGGGTCCGAAGCTCGTAATTAAATAAGAAGCATCGGATTAAGTCACATGAAGCAAGAGGTATACCTATATGATGTATCATAGTTTTTGTCACTCAAATGTTCTGTAAGTCGTGTGTCAAACACTTCGTTGTGACACATGGGTCATGTACGACGCGACCCATGGACTGCCATAGGACTGCCATATATCTGTATATACCCCCCTGGCACCACCCCACATTGATCAGCCTTTTCTGGCAGCCCCAGTGTCTGGGGTCGGTATGTACCTTTTAAATTCTGAGACTCTCCAAAGACCTCTTAGGAAACCAATAGGTATAGAGTCTCTCCGCTTGGCTGGAGGACATCTGGACCTTGAAAGTGGGACATTTTTGCCTAGCCCGGCATGGACAGCCTGTTCCGTTCGTCGGACATCGCCCCGTTTTTGACGGTGACGCATCAAATCTGTCCTCGCTCGATTCCCAATTGAGTTGCTGTTTTGATGAAAAATACAACATGATTCCCAAAAAGCAAGACCAAACACAGCATGCATCAAGGAAAATCAAACACAGCATGGCAATTCCGGCCCTGCCAAAAGATGATGTCGGTGGGTTGACAGAAGTATGACAGTCTAGTGTAATTTCATGCAATTTCTACTTTTCTTCTGTTGTTGAGCTTGACCCGCGAACCGCAACGTGCAGCGGAATCAGGTACGAATACGCGTCAGTGATGTCTCGGAGACTCTGACCGATGGCACTGGAAGTGGCCACTGGGACGCCGATGGCCAACATGGCCGAAACAAGCCGACGAAAACGACGAAAACGGGATCTTTGCCAACTTCTTCAGCACTGCAGTGCACCACAGATCCCATGGGTTTCTCCAAACACTCCACGGTGCTTGTACCGCTTTGGTCGCTGCCCGTCCGCCTCGCGCCGTGAACACGCGCGTCCCGAAGCGTCCAGGTTTGGCGAGTCCCACAGCGTTGCCGGCGGAGTTCGCGGAGACCAACGTGCACGACATGTGGCGAGCGGTGCCTCGGTGTGTGGCGAGCGGTTTGGGCCGAAAGAGCGGCCCAGGGCCCAGGGTGGTAATGGGTGGTAGGTGGGTGGTAGGTGGTGGTGCTTTTTGTGTCTGCTGCATATTTCTAGGTAGGGCCGTAGGGCCACTTAGCCGAAGAACGTGATTGAGAGAAATCTACTATCATCTGCTCACAGTCGGATGATTGCCTGAGGCAAGGGCGCGATGTAGGAAGTATCAGGCTTTGGGTTTCTTTGGGTGAAGAAGTACGCTTAGGACTGGGCAGATATATAGGCACCAGCATCCAATGCCAAATGAATACCCATTTAATTAACCGCTTCTTTACCATGCCAAGGTCTTTTTTTTGCGATTTTACCCAAGTCATGGTGTTGGCGCCTGGCAGATTTCCACACTCAGTGTGGCATCCGATTCGGTTTTTTTCTCCCCTCCAAGGAATCCGATGCTTTGCGCTCCTTGGCAGCGGACAAGGTGAAACAGAAAGCACCGGCGAAAGCGGAACACACCAAACGACGACCGCCGCTCAAAGCGGAACACATGGAGTCAGGAGAAGGACGGCAAACAGTGTCGAAGGCCGTTTGAGTCGAGACAGACGTCGTTTTGAGGTGCCAGGAAAAAGACTTCCGATCGAGGGAACTTGAACAGCATCAGTAGCCGGAAGCTGAGACAGCAGTTGACACAAGCAAACAGACGATTTCAGATAGGATTGAACCGCGGTATGAACAGCCTGAGAGCATTGTGGTGCTTCTTTGAGCGCAATCAGGGCTATTCTTGAGCACATCGCTGTTGTGTTATTCCTCCGTGTTCGGTTTCGTAGACGCGCCGACGCGCTTTCTCGCCGGGGCGCTCACACGTCTTCCGGCTAAGAAGATGATGTGCCAAATGAGGTCGAAACTATTCTCGCCTCACACGTCGACATGATCTCAAGAGCCGCCTTCAGGGGGGCTTGTCGGGTTTTGTGATGAGGCGCGGTCCGTCGAGCCGCGTACCGTCGACCGCCGCGAGTCGTACGTCGTGCCGCGTGAAGTGTCGACTGCCGCTTACATCGACCGAGAGCGATGAGCGATTTGGCGACGACGCGTTCGTCGGGCTTGGGACGGAGGGAAGGGCATGAAGGGCTTCCTGCCACGATTGGGGGGGCGCGTTTACCGTAATTTTGACTCTTTGATTCATCAATCCCTCCACAGGGAGGTATGTTGACCATTTAGATGGTGAGGTAATTCAACATAATAGTCAATAGTAGTAACAAGGTGCCACGCTAGGAGTAACAGGTGCCTTACTAGTAGTAACAAGAAGCTATTAATTTAAAATGTAAATAAATAGCTTCTTGTTACTACTAGTAAGGCACCTGTTACTACTAGCGATATAATAGTCAATAGTCAACATGTGGTTCGTGAGTTTCGGCGCTCTCATGACCGGTGCACACGCCGCTAGCGAGAACTCTCCGATGGTAGCGTGCTGGGACCTGTGGTACAGGAGAATCGACATGTTTTCTGGAGATGCAAGCATCAATGCACGATTGTATGTGCTGTAATTACGCCTATACCTCATATACATCCTAATACCTATATTGCTTATGTCTTTTGGTTTGAAACTTGGCTGATAGATTGATCAACAGATTGTGATCAAGTTCTCCAGAGTTTCTGAAGATGATGAGTATTGGATGTTCTCACATCACTTCCAGCATGACGGATTTGTGCGTTGAGGCCAGATAGCTTTCTGTGCGTTCTATGGGATATCATCTGTGGGATCATGATGTTGCACGACAGTGCCGCCTGCCTGCAACCATCCGACGATTTTTTCCGCACGTCTCCACCTGGTTCCTATACAATCTCCACATCGGATCACATACAGGCAGGAGCGACATTCCTTTCAGCCAAGTCCACCCATACACTAATTAAATCTAATTAGCAGATTTGATGCATTCTTTTAAAGACAAACTTGTGTTCTTAGACAAACAAACCGGCCATGTCACCAGGATCTTCTAATCCGGCTTCGATCTGACGTCGTCAGACGACTTGGCATCGGACCGTCGGATATGGGGCCCTTTTCCGATGAAGGGAAGGATGTACAGAGTCTGATTCAACGATGTTTTGGTAATAGAAACACCATGTAACAACAGTCTACTATAGAAGAGGAATGAAGAGGATGGGTCTCACGGCAAGGTTTTGATATCTTGTCAACTGTGCTATGGCTACCGTATTGAGGCACCATAGCGTATAGCGTATAGCGTTTCCACTTGACCCAAACGCGCGGCGCATCCCCAACGACCTCATCTTCGATCCCGTCCGTCTCGACCCGAAACACCGAGGTGATGATCCCCTTGCTCACGGCCTTTGATGTCCAACAGACGGGAGCCGTCTACGGCTTCGCATTGGTGAGCGCTGTGGTTTGGTGTTTAGATATGAACATCTCCTTCTTTCGCGGCTTCATCAATGCCCGGACAGGTCCGGATGGAACGAAACGATGGGAGACCCGGTGTCCGCGACCCGGTGTCCTCGACCCATCGGGTAACACCGAGGAGGAATTTGCACATCACATGTGGTATTGTGATTCGTTTGGTCTGGTAGTTTGGTCTGATTATTGATAGACATGTTTGTCTGCAGAGTTTGTATGTAAACGATTGTAAACGTACATACACTGGGGTGCCGAAAGTTAAGCTTCTTGACTTCAAAAACGGGACAAACCCTTTCCCCTTAGAATCCTACGTGCAACATGTCGACACCTAAGTTGCGGTCAGATTTCCACACCTGAAAGCCGAATAAGCATTATCAATTTAAACGGGTGTGGAAATCTGACCGTGCTGTACCTGCCAGGCAAAATGGACGTGTCAATCCGATCCGCTGTAGACCGCAAGTGTCATGTTGGAGAGTAAGACACGTAAACGTTTAGGGTTCTTGAAGTTCTTTTTTCAGCTCAAACGATCAAATCCATCCATCTCATTCCGTTTGTTTGGACGGCCGTGCCCCACTGATAGGCTTTGTGGAGATGCGCATGCGGCCCATTGCACGCCGTCCCTTGGGGCGGTGGAACAGAAACGCGAGATGCACCGGTTCCGCAGGGTGTGAAGAAACGAGAGAAACCGGTTCGGAAGAAATGCAATGCATTTTGGTTGATTCTGCAGATTTGTTGAACAGATGTTTGTTTACCATTCCTTTATTTTCGAATGCGCTTTTGCATCAAACACGTGGTCCTTGTTTCGTTGGCGGCCCACATGAGCTTTCGATCTTGATCTCAGGCTACCTCACCGGCTGGTTTTTGCCGGACGTGGCGCTGATCTCGTTGGACATGGTCTCCTTCTTCAGCACGGAAAGCAGCAACATGGTGTCCTTCACCTTGTTTCGTCTCTTCCGAAACCTGCGGCTCTTGCGGCTGGTGCGGATGGTGGGTCGCGCCGGCGTGCTGAAGGAGCATTTGCAAACTTTCGAAATCATGGAGTGGGCATCCGACACTTGGAGTGGCAGAATTAAGAACTTTCAAAGGTTTGCCCCTGATTTCAGAGTGCGCAAGCTGATTTCTCACAGAATTGGGTGCTGAGACATGGTCGAAGGTCAGAACAGGACAGGCTTCGCGCATCCCAGCAATAGACTCTGCAGGTCTTTCTTATTTTTCGAGAACGAACCTGTCTCTCGTCTCTTTCGAATGCGCCAAACGCCTCGCCTTCGCGCCGACTCGCGCTCTCTCTTTCTCGCGAGGTCTATGTGGAGACCACCCTGGGAATGATGAAGCACTTGGCCTCTCGGCGTCCGGTCAAGCACGGCCGACAGCGCGATGGGGTCCGAGAGAAGAGGCGTGCGAGTCAAAGTCAAGCCGACGGCTGGGGCCGACACCAGCGGCGGCATGTCTTGGTCGATTCCCCAAAGAAGCAGACAATGACAAAGACTTTGATGATTTAGTCGACTTGCAGTCTAGAAGTTTCATGAAGTTTCTATCTATAATATATAGGGATGAAATTTGTAGCTTGAGTCTACAAAAATCTGTGGCAGCAACTTTATGGACAATTCCCGAGGCGCTTTCAGGTTTCAATGTTTTATTTGTGTTGTCATTGCTCGTTCACTTCCAACCATTTCTAATGTGAACTCCCTGCGGAACATGACAGCTGATATCAGCTGATGTTGTTTTTTTCAATCTGCGAGTCGTATGCTTTGTGACATGTTGAAGTTCCACACTCGGGACGACATGCTCGTCCAGTGCCCAGTTGTTAGAACCGACTCAATAGAACATCCATGGAAAATCTGAAAACTATTTTTGTTCACCTATTACCAGTCCGGAGTTGTTTACTTATTTTTTGTGAGGCAAACAAAGAGAACGGCGCAGTCACCGGTCTGACGGAATCTGCACGCGAGCCGCTCGGCTCTGAGGCCATCATCGCTTTGATGTGCCACTTCTGCGGTTGTGCCTGGTACGCTTTGGGACGCACGGGACAGGAATTGCCGGGACAGACCTCATGGATCACCGTGCACGCAGGAACCAGACACTTGGCCCGCAGTAAATACTGAGTGCTTTTTCGGAACTCCGTACCGTGACCTGAATCAATCGAAGCTAAGCAGTGGTTCTTTTGGGGGACACTCCATGAGTAGCTGAGTCGGCTTCTTTTGATCCACATCTTTTTGGAATCCAAAATGTCCGAGCAAAAATGGCTTTCTCAAATTCCATTTCTTCAACAAAGAGCCAACAAAGAACCCTCCCAATTGGGAGGAGATCGCTCGCATCGGTTCGCACCTTCTTCGATCTCTCGCTCGATGCTGAGGAGATGAGCTGGGCCTTCCCACCGATCTCATGTATATGCACCTGGGCCGGTTCTGGATCGAAGAAGACGAGGTTCAGGTTCCGGTTCCGAGACTGCCGTGGCGCAGGGTGGTTCCGTGATGACGGCCATGCGTGGTCAGTTCATGAAGATATCGATTATATCATGGACACTGCCCGCCACAGTTTTTTTAGTGCCGCTCTCCTGCCTATAGGGGGTGTATAGGGGTGTGCTCCGATATGTGTGTTCTCTCATGTTTTTGCTCACATTTGTACGCTCTCGTATGTTTGCTCTCACGCGTTTTCCCTCATATTCACGCCGCTTCGTGGCGAAGACCCCCGCACGGATACGTGTGCTCTTTGAGCCGGGAAAGATCGCAAAGGGTCAGAAGAAGTCTTTTAGCAAAAAACATAGTCTTTTGACAAAAAACACCCCACGACAGCAACTTGGTGATTGATGCGTCCCCCTATTACCCAACGTTCCGTCTTAGATATCGACATGATTTTGACTACGCTGGTACCTATCTTAGGCGTGTTGTACAATAAGGACATCTGCGGGGGCAAACATGCACACGCTTTGAACGATGCAGTTCCATTCATGCAGCATAACTAACATTATTAATGCTTTCTAATTTATCTTTCGGGAAGGCCACAGCGGCAAGCACACACGATGTCAGTAATGCATTTGCACTCAGGCAGCATAGCCGACATCGCCTTTCATTACCCCCAAGCTAAAGCTTGATGGGCTATGTAGCAATTCTAGTGGCTTACGCGAGCTGAGACAACGCCTCACCACCTTCGGTGCGGGCGGATTTGTGCTCTCAAGCGTGTGCTCTCATACGTGTCTTCTGAAATGTGCTCCCTCTCTCCCTCTCTCTCTCTCTCATCTGTGCTGTCATCCTGTGTACGTGCGTGCTCTCATCACGAAAGGTAGCTTGAGCTACCTGAGTTCTCCTTGCTTTAGCAAAAATGTATTACAATCAGGAGTTGGGATTGTGCATTGAGTTTGGTCCTGTAAGAGTTGATTCTGTTCGTCGGGGGCCCCCCCTGGATCAAATCCCCCCTGCGCCGGTTCACGCCATCATGGACTTTTACCAGGGTTGCTTGTGATTGCCTGCTACCTTTCGTTCACCCCCTCCTCTCTCAAGTATATAGTGGCTCACATACGCGCTCTCATGCATATGCTCTTAGACCTGTGGAAGTTGGCTTCCTCACCCTGGTGTTTTTCTTAATTTTTTGGGAGCACTCGGAGACTTCGTCTCTCGCATCGAATCGAGTGGCCTGGTCTCCGCCGCCCGCTCCGCCCGAGGTACAGCACTTCGCTCCATTGGGCCTTGACGCAGTTCACCCCGGCGGCCATGGAGGTGCGAAGGGAGCCACGGTGGAGACGACGCGCCACACGCTGATCTGATTTGATGTGGGCTGCCAGTGGTCCAGAATGCAAAGGGCACCAAGAAGAACGAACATCACTCCCCGGTCACCAATATATAGTTTCTTCATGGTTGTTTACTACCACTGCCCACCACTTGCCCGCACATTTCCCCTCGCCACCACTCCGCCCACCACTCCGCCGCCCGCGCTCCGAGACCTCGCGTAGGTCTCGGCCAGCAACGGTGTGGAGCGCCTCTTCACCGTCTGCGTCGTCCTCACAGGCGCGGACGTCGCTTCCGCCGCGTGGACGGTGGCGGAGCAGTGCGGACTGGACCGACCGTCGGGCGGAGAGACGATGTGTGTGTGTTGTTTTTGTTTTTTCCGTTAAAAAAAGCTGCCCACCCAACTCAGCCCAATGGCCTCTTCTAATTGGTCGAACATCCTATAGCCCTTAGAGCATGTCGTTCTGTTCAAGTGTGATGGTTTTGATATGTTTTGATCAGGGTTTAAGGGTGTCATGACCCCAAACGCCATGGCCCGGATCCAGCAAGATGTGCCCCAGCACACTGGAGGCCCCAGCTCGCAGATTTGGGTCTCCAATGCACGTGAACTCATCGACCGAAACAGTGCCAGAACGTTGCCCTATAAGAGTTTGCAACCAACAAGAAAAGAGTGTCCTACAAGAGGTGTCACCCCAGAATGTCCTTCCAGAGAGTCTTTGAAGAACGCCAAGAGCATCAAACAACAGTTGGTCGTTTAGTTGTTGCTTTAAAAGGGAGTTTCAAATCCATAAGTTCCATGATACTTGATGCACTTCAGCTGGCCTCAAGTTCCACTAGTCCACTATAGTCACTAGTCACGAAGTAGGCTTCAAAGGTGCTTATTTAAGAAAGATCAGGACTTCCATCCACCGGACCTCCATTCAGGACAGCAGACCACCAACAACCCCACCAACCCATATAGCTCAATGCCGACTTAGGGGGGAACCCAACCCACTCACAGAAGGGCGCCTGTTCCGCTCGTCGGCCTTTCCGGCCAGGACTCATTGCCTTCAGCTTCTTCTTGGGCTCGATCAACCAATCCTTGAGCCAATTGAAAGCCCGCAGTGCCCAGGACCGACGGGCGACGCAAGAGGTCGACGGAAGGCGAGACGATTGAGGGTAAACTGTGGTGACAGTGAGCGGCCAAGCCGGGTGTTTTCATTTCGGCATAGAGACGGCTCGAGACATGTCGCTGTGGACATTGGATTCAGATCAATGGTGAGCTTGTGATCAGTTGCTTCTCTACTCTTCACACCTGGTTATTGTGCGAACTTCTGTTGCATGTCGATGCCCAAGATACCCGGACATCCATTTTCCTGGTTCATCATCATGAACCTCTTTTCATAATAATAGCTGTTCTTCAGGACAGTTCTTGACTTATGTCGTAAGAAAACATGTCCACATCATTCCACATCCACATCGTTGGTGATCAACTGATCCACAGGAAACCTTCCAGAACATGCTGGTTCGCCGCTACATCAGCGAGCGGCAGTTATCCATGGAACTGGCCGCTGACATGTTGGCCTTCATCCGGCAACGTGGACTGGGAAAAGCCAAGAGCAAAGTGGTCTTCAGCGATATCAAGGCGATGGCCCGACCATGTTGTGGCCACTCCTTTAGGGCTTAGAAGGTTGGACATGGAAGGAATCATGTTGAAACAGATTCCAATGGATTCCAATGGATTTTTGTTTTTTGGGGTTGGACATCGAACATCAGGTTACAGGTTGGACATTGGATTTTTTTAGTCCACAGATGGAGGAAACCAAGTTTGTTGGATCTCGGATGACCGCAAGTGCAGCAAGGTCAGGTCAGATGACCGACAGGTACTTCCCTGTCGAAGTCAACCAATCCGAAAAAGGGGATGACATGTGGCGTCTTTTATCTTCCACAGATGCTCCAAACTTTTGCACAGATGGCCAGATGGCCCACTAAAGGGACAGATTTGGGAATCGTTGCTTGGTCAGGCACACCGACCAACACCAGGCTCTCGTCCCACCGGCCCATCCTGAGTGCCAGGCCTTGGACAGCTTGCCACGAGAGTTGCTGGCGCACTTGCAGCACGAAGTGGGCCTTCCGATCTTGGACACTCATGCGATGCTGAAGCATTTGAGTCACCTGGCACTGGAAATGATTGAAAAACATTTGCGAAGACTCTTCAACACTTTGAATTAAGCTGCTGTGCTGTGCGCATGCCAGCAGCTTGCCACTTGAAGCCGTCAGCTTTGAGCGTCCCCCGAAGTACATCATGACCCAGGTGTGCTGGGCAGCAAGGAGATGACTCGCTTGTGCGAGAAGGCCCTGAAGGAGTCCCGACGGATCTACGGCGAACACTTGTTCGAAGCCGGCGGCGGCGGCGAAAAGATGTACTTCATCCTGTCCGGACGCTTTCACTACACCAGTGTCTCGGTTCCGAGCTGCTTTTAGCTTTTTGTGGGGGGCTTTTTGTGGGTCGAGACCAGCTCGATCTTGGATGTCTTTTGGGTAGAAATCCTTTTTGTATGGCATGGATACCAAAGACCCTAGAAAAGGCGTCTAGTCTAGTGAAACTGCTATGATTCAGGCTGATTCCTTCAAGTAACCCCCTGCAGCCTATTGACCTACACCTGTTCGGGGTGTCTTTTTTGCGAGTTTCCATGGAGGCATATCAATTCCACTCCCATTCGTGTGGTTTGGGTGATACGTATGATGTTTGTGCAAGGTACGATGGAACATGCACATCAAGGGACGTTCAGATCACTTGTGGCCCAGGTGAGTTGCTGCTGGATGTGACCCACGAAGTGTCCAAAGGGATGCGCTGCAGCCACTGGATGCCACCGAAACGGAACAGAAAAACGAAACGCCACAGGACCTTCCTAAAGAGGTATACTAGAAAGATCCACCAGTCTTTTTTCACTCCAAAGAAAAAACACGAATTGAAGGTGTTGGTCACCTTTGCCAGTGTAAACAAAGATGTTCTGCCTCTACCAAAAAACTGACAAAAACACATGGAAATCAAGCTGACAGGTTTAAGCTGAAAGAACTTTAAACAAAAGGTCGTGCGCAGAGAACAATGTGAGTTCCGGGGGAGTTCCATGCCATGCTCATCGGTGAGAAAACTGCCTCAGTTATGAGGCGAGAAGAGCCATTCGACAATGAACAATTCCGTTCTTGAACGGGAGTCGTCTTTGGCGCAATATCTCCTATAGAAGAATTTGGTGTCACAGGGATTCCAATTCGGAGCGGATTCATTTTGTTATTTTTCGAGTCCGCATGTCACGAAGATCCAGCCAAGACTTCCCCGGATGCAATGCAAGTGGATGGGCTGGCGGCAGCCTAGGAGTTCAAGGCTGTTGCATCTGAAACGTTTCTTCTTTGGGGATTCACAGCAACAAACATCAAACATCCCAGCAAAACCTTGGATTCCAGGTCTCTTCATGGTTCCAAAATCGAAGACAAAAACAGAATGGGACCAAAAAAACACCGCTGAATCAGTGGAATCTTCCTATTTCTTCCACCTCCACTTGGTCTCCGTTGCCGCTGGGTCTCTGTCCGCCACTGAGCTCGGTCGTGCCGTCCGAGGTGAAGCCTCTCTTTGGCTCTCCTGGGAGCACCACGGAACGATGCCACGGAGCGGTGAAATTGGAGACCACCCCGAGTGGCGGTCAACGGTGGTACCAGTTAACTGGTTCTTGTTTCGTTTACCATTCATGACCATCTTTTTCTAGCACATATTACATCATATTAAACTATGTTGGTGGATTCTTTCTTCAATTTGAGCCTGTACTCCCGAAAGGAGAAAAGAACAAGATGGAGCCCACGAACCCGAATGCAAACACGTATGTCAATCCACTGTGTATAGAAAGAGACACAGCCGGTTAGATTCTCTTTTTCACACTCCGGCACGCTGTTGGACATCATGCGCTGGGGACTCCACCACCAAGGCAGCATGTGCTGGGGACTTCACCACCAAGCTCCGTCTTCGTCATGAAGGGTCTTCGTTTTGCATTCAAATCAAGCACTGGCGTAAAGGTTCTGGCAGATCCACATCACGAAAGAAACAATGGCATTGTCCCAAAATCTCGAAAATAAGCACTTGAAAATGATAGCCGTCCACATAACACAGAGAAATCCACAACTGCGGCGTCTGATCTTCTTGTAAATAGGAGTGCAAGACCGTGCGTTGTTGTGTTTCACCTGCATCAACAAGAAGTATATGAGACACGCACACAACGGAAGTGAGTAAAACTATCCTATAGGTCATGTCATTAGTCCAACATTGGCATCGGTCTTTTGTAAACACGAGTCAGAAAGGAGAAGAATTACAAGTCGAAACGTTTTTGGATGTGTCACCAGGGCCTCGAACAGCAGACGTCTGGGTCCAAGTATTTCCAGCAATCATGAAGCCAAGATTGAGCTCTGTGGCCAATGCAACAACGTCTGTTGCCCAATGAGTATTCCCGCAAGTTTCGAGAGCAGCACTCACGGCATGCTGCAGCCACACCAGGGCTGCAGCGCCAGAATGCACTCTCTTGCTCCTCGTCACGGGGCTATCGCCCTCTTTGTAGCGAACTAGCATGGCGCCGTCCACCACTTCTGCTCCGAGGACATCATTGGCGTCTTTCAAGAAAGCAGGAGTGTGGTCATGGACCAGTCGTCCAGCCATGTCCCCGCAGCTTCGCGCACCAAACATCCGGCGACGAAGTTCAAGAATGCTTTTGGCGTCTTGGCACGCATGTGTCGCCCGACAATCTTGCGGAGAGCAGCCGCGACCGTAGTTCGGTCGTCCCAGTCAGCCACCTCATCGGAAGTGAAAAGATTCAAGAGTCGTGGGCTGCTCGCACCTGCATCAGCGCGACCGCAGTGGACAAGAAGAAGCAATCGCCGCCTCCACCAGCTTCGGCGGCAAAGACACGCAGAGCCCCGTGTTCTCGGAAAAATTGCGCCGTGGGAGTGGCCACCTCTTCCAGCGCAAGAGACCAGATGTCGCAGAAATCTGTTCGCAGCTGACGCCACTTGGTGGGGTCGTACTTCCTTTTGGTTCCCCTGGACTCAGTCGCTACGCTCGCCTTCGTAGCCGCCGTCCAAGCCCCTGGGACGTACTGAAAGCGACCCTGTGGTGAGCTAAGGTGTCCTCTGCTCGTTGATCCTCCATGTCTGACTTCCGTCGCTTCGGTAGCCGCGAGTGCTTCTGGAAAAAAGTGTCAACAGCTTTACAAATTGCAACTTGAGACTCATCCTGTTTCAGCAAGTGCAAAAGTTTCAGCCGTCTCAATTTGGAATAGATTGCCCGACTTTGCGATAACTCAGACAGCTGCGATGGTATTTCTCCGTGTACTCGTATGAACTCATCCAACTCTGCGCGGGCACTCTCTGCTTTCTCGACATCCGATTTCTTCTTTGGAGGAAATATTGGAAATAGATATGAAAAATAGGAGGATATAGAAGACAGGAGATTGCCACGTCAGCTTCCAAGAATGCGACACACATCCGATCAGCAAGAGTGTGTAAATCCGACAGCTTCGGAGAGTCTCAGCGTGCAATCCCATGCACCAGGCGCAGCAAAAACATACACCCAACAACGCCTTAGTTCCAATGGAGCGTACACGAAAGGATAGCGGCCGACAACCTGGGCTAATATAAAACAATGTTGATATTCTAACCCACTACCATGACATGAAGAACGCTACAGCATAACAAGTATCTATGACGTGCGTCAAACAATTGATCGAAGTCTAGGAGCCATCATGTCACCCATGTCTGGAAATCCAGTGCAATAATAAGGCAATAGTTGCGCGAACTCCACCAGCAACATCTTTGGCCGCGGTAGCAAGGCAATGTGTCGCAGCTCTACGCATCGCAGTGTGCTAGGTAGCAAAATCATACCAAGGATTGCCAACCAGGTCGTCAACACCCCAGCATCAGTAGCAAGTGTAGCAAGGCAAACCTCACTCGTCGCGAGTCCTTCCTTCTCTTGTCATCTACCCACGACGGCCGAGGTCGTGCGTGCGCACGTCGTCTTCGCGACATCGCGCTCCCCTACACCGGGGACTCCACCACCAAGCTCGGGGATATGCTCTCTACACGCTCCACACTGTATGCGCAAACTCTAAGTTACATCATTTGGGATATTCTTTTTTTATATCATGGTACCAATGCTTCCTATTTCAAAAGCTTCAAAAATGCAACAGTTTTTTCCCGAAAGCGTTGCGAAGGGTTCTTCCGGAAAATCCCTTGAACACTGACACTTCGACACTTACACTTATACACTGACACTTCTACCACACTTGCACTACAACATGAACGGTATACGTACCCCAGTGTAAGTGGAAGAGCGAAAGCATCCAAGTGCAAAGTATGCAAGTGTCAAAGTATGCAAGTGTAAGTATGTAAGTATGTAAGTGAAATGATGCAAGTGCAATGATGAGTATGCAAGCATGCAATGAGTATGCAAGCATGTAATGAGTATGCAAGCATGCAATGAGTAGGCAAAGCATGTAATGAGTAGGCAAGTGTGAGCATGGAAAACTAGCACGGGAGATGTCCTAATGAAAAAACATTTCCCCACTTTATACATTCTCTCTTAAAGGCGGAGGGTGGGACGAACAGCGTCAACCGAAAGTGGAACCCTCTGCGGAGATCGTGCGTGTCGAGTGCGCGAAATGCAGGCGAGAGTGCGATTTGCAACCTGCGCGCGCAAAACCCTCTGCGGAGATCGTGCGTGTCGAGTGTGCGAAATGCAGGCGAGAGTGCGATTTGCCGGGTGCGCGTGCAACCCTCTGCGGAGATCGCGCGTGTCGAATGCGCGAAATTCGTCCGGTGCGCGCGCAACCCTCTGCGGAGATCGTGCGTGTCGAGTGCGCCAAATGCAGGCGAGAGCGCCGCTCGTCCGGGGCGCGCGCAACCCTCTGCGGAGATCGTGCTTAGATGTGCTGGGGGTTTGCTAACTGGTTAGATAGTGTTACTAATATGTTATAAGTTATTCCTAAGTTGCTTTTAACTTAATCCTAAACTATTATAAAGTTTCTAAGCATTTTAAAGGTTTAGCTAATCATCTTAAACATCATAACCTTGCTAAAGAAAACTAATGAAAAGTTAAGGGCTTAGCTAAATATGTTAACTGTCAAGTTAAGGGTTTACTAACCTTGCTAAACCCTTTAGGTTTTTTGAAAACCAACATATTTATATAATGGCTGTTGTCTTCTATAGTAGCGTCAATAAATGTATATAGAGCCTGCAAGGCTGTTTGTTGCATGGAGCCATCTTGGCTGTTTGTACATGCCGCTTGCATGGAGCCATCTTGGCTGTTTATACATGCCACTTGCATGGAGCCATCTTGGCTGTTTGTACATGCCACTTGCATGGAGCCATCTTGGCTGTTTGTACATGCCACTTGCATGGAGCCATCTTGGCTGTCTTTGGTCCATGTCTTGGGTTTGGGCCAAAAGGCTAGGTTGCCATAGCTTGGGATTCCATAGTTGTTGCCTCCTTGTGCATTTTGTTCAAATCTTTGGGAAGAACAAACACGTGCCTACATGAGACATGCAGTCCCAGAAAAGCAACCTATAAGACCACATATGCACCCAAATAAGGTTTTTTGCTTCTGCACCTTGCAGACAAAGACCAGTGTGCCATGGCCTTGTCTGACTCAGTGAGAGAGGAAGCATCCAAAGTCATTGCTTCAAATGAGCCAGTGAACTCAAAGATGGTCATGCTGAATGAGCTTTGGCTGAAGAATGGGCTGGCATCATTTCACACAATACCTCCCTGCAAGCTGCTTGTACACCCCTCCAACCGAGGGGGCTCAACGCTGAATGGCCATGACGTCTTGGCAAAGGGAGAAAAGCTCATGGGCCAAGGCTTTCGAAAGGACTTGTTAGAGAGTAGCTCAGTAGCATTTGCTCTCTCCAGCAATGTTACCACAAGGCAGCAACAAATAGATGCCAACAAGTTGTTGGTGCAGCAATTCCCTTCTGTGTTGGCACCCTTACAGGGGGATGAGCTGTACATGAGTGTTGGAGCTTCACACAGCACCAGTTTTTTGAAGGCCAAAAAAATTGGTGGCATCCCTAGTGGCAATGAGCCCTTGAAGCAGATCTTAGAAGTTGGGTGGAAATGGCTTGTCTTGGCTGAATGCTTAGAAGAAGCCTTCCCTACCTTGCCCTTGCTGTACTCTGCAGCTCTCAACAGCAGTAACACTGCACAAGTGGCTGCCACTGAGCTGGAGTGCTTGGCAACCATTAGCAAATACATCCAGCTGGGTAAGACCTTGGAAGCTGCTGTGGCTGAGACTGCCATTGGAGAGCCCCAATGCAAGCAGTACTTGGATGTGATAGCACATTTTGCACAGCTATATACAGGAGGGCAGCAAATGCCCTTGGCTTCTTTCCTGGTGGCCTTCAGCAAGTCATTTGGAGAAAGTGCACTTTTGGGAGAGGAGTTCATGAGATTGGTTACTCACTTTGATTTCAAGGTGACTGGCAGCTTACTGCCATGCTTCAGGGTTGCAGCCCTTGCTGCACAGCTCACTTCCACCAAGGTTGTGGACAAGATCAGCAAGCTGTTGGTCAAAGGTGATTTTGATCGGCTCAAGAGCAGGTGCCAGTCACAGCTTGTGGAAGCTGA